CAACAGGTTACACAAGACCCTATGACTGCTTCCATGTGGAGAAACCGTTGGTTTAGGGATTAGAATCATAGAATCATGAAGTTGGAAGAAGCCTATTGAGCCACTGAGTCCGATCCTCCGCTTAAAGCAGGAATCCAAATCAAAGCAGATCTGTCAGATTCTGCCCTGTTACAGCCAGGGCAGAATCTTCTGCTGTTGGGCCATGTAAAGGTGATATAATAATCTTAGAACTGCAGTGCTGGAAGAGACCCTATGGATTATCAAGCTCAGCCCCTCTCAAGGAGGCCCAGGGGGGGAATCGAACTCCCAACCTCTGGTTCCACACCCAGATGCCTAAACCACCGAGCTATCCAGCAGTTCCAGAGACCCAACCTAAGGCAAATATGGGTGCCTTGATCACTTCAGAATCAGACAGTAAGACAAATCAGGCCCCGGGGGGAGTTTCACCCTGGAATGTGCAGCTGGGATCCCTCTTGAGATTTGCACTGCTGCTGCGTGTGTGGCTTCCCTCCTTCTTGCATTGGGAACAAATTAAGTTTCAGCGGCAGGCTTCGGCTATTTTTGCCTAGAAACATTTACTGTTTTGTACTACTGCACTCTGAAAATCTGCAGACAGCTACACGTTGAGCCAATCTGCTTCGTGAACAGCCAAAGGTTTCTGCATACTGATCCTCTGTGGGAAACTGGAATGCCAGAATGAGGGGAAGGAAAAAAGAAGAGAGAGTGCACAATGGGTTTTTTTAATTACAAAAAATTCAAATTACAATATAATACAGAAACTTTTTACACACAGAATATTAGAACAATTTCCTACCAGACGGTAAAGAAAAATATTCTTTTTTAAATGTTTTTCTTCTTCTTTTTTTTTTATTTTAATAAACCACATATTCATTTTCAGCTATTGTTATAGAAAGCTTTCAGGACATGCACATCATTTCCCTTGTCAGGGTCTGCTCTTTTTTTTCTTTTTAATTATTTTTTCACTTTTACTTTTTTTCTTCTCCTTTTTCTTTTTCTAAGTGCAAATGCTAGAATGTCTCTCTCCACCTTTTAAGGCAAGTTAAATGTGACACTGCAAATTTCGTAATAGAAAGTACCTGTTAAAATGTCAAGCTCGGGGTGTACAAAACACACACCTCCCCTTGTCTACCCGTAAAGAGAGATGGACTTTAAAAAAAAAAAGCCACACGCACACATACACAAAGTCACAGAGAAGGAAAACAATGATGGTTCAGAGGAATTTTAAAAAATGAGAATGAGGGGAAGGTGTGGGTTTTTCGGGCTCTTTGGCCGAGTTATGAAGGTTGTTCTTCCTAACGTTTCTCCAGTCTCTGTGGCCAGCATCTTCAGAGGACAGCACTCTGTGCTCTGGTGTAGTTTGCTTTGGAGTGGAGTATTTATGGCTGTGAGATCAGCTTTTGTCCTTTTCAGGAGACAACAAAAACACACTGATCACCATAATCCCCCATCTCCGGAAAAAACCCACAACAACCATCAGATCCCGGCCATGAAAGCCTTCGTGAATGCAAAGTTAATACAAGTTTGTTTAAAATATGCAGGATGTGCTGATTAAAGTGATGATGGGGGGGGGGGAAGCAACCTGATCAGTGTCAGAAAGAGACAGAACATGGCTTTAAGAGGGCCCAAGTAGAAAAGGGCCATCCAGTCAATTCACACCCAAGCCCCACTTCTTGACAGATCGATTGGTCCTCCTGCCATAATACTAACACACAGAGAGAGAAGCGGGAAGTTTAATGCTGACGATCACTGGTCCAGGATCTTCCCATGCTAAAGTTATCCAGTGTTTCCAAGGTCTAAACCTAACTAGGTAATTGCTTCTGGGCAGTCTCTTTCCTAGGCTTCTTGTGAGGAATATCTTGGGTGTGGAGAGAATGATTACGGCAGGGAAAAGAAGCTAGGCGTGAACTCCCTGACTTTGATAGTGGAGTACATGTAGAGAGATTTATTTTTTCTGTTTAGAAGCACGTCGCCTGTCAGCAGAGGTGCAGCAGCTCCCCATTTCAGATGTAAGCTAGGCACAGGGGTTTGCAGAGCTAACCATTCCGTGGCAAAAAATCAGAAGACGGTTTGCAACCTCCGTCCGGGTCTGCTTGGGAAAAGCAGTGAGAAAACCCACCCAATAACAAACGTATAAAAACAATTGTGCCTAAATAACAATTGCTAGCCCTAACTAAAATAAGCTTATTTAATCAATTGTGGAAGAGTGGGACAACATTTAAGTGTACCCCACTGATTCAATGGGTCACCTATAGCTGGTGCCACCAACTGGATTCCGGGCATAAAGATTTTTATTTTGAAACCTGGATAAAAGCCAACTAAGTAACATTTAGACGGCTCTGCTTTTATTAATGCCTAGAGATGGGCACAAATGACCGGTTCAGTGGTTCGTTTAACGGTCGAACCAGTGTCCAGAGGCATCCAAACCCATCTCCTCCAGGAGGGACCCACTCCAAGGCAGTGCCCCAGAGAAGCCGGGGCAGGGAATCTGGGGCGCAGCCTCTGAGCAGGCACCCACTGGAGGAGGCGGGGCTAGGAATCACCACACACCTGTTCGGCTGGTAAACGAACCAGCACGAACCGTGCCCATCTCTATTTATACCTTTTCTTTTTCACTACTTAACAGAAGTCCTATCCATAAACAACACACTATATACCATTCCAACTCTGGAACAAGGGAAACGGGAACAACTGGAGGCAAATGTAAAACTTCAGCACGGAGGAGGCAAACTGGGAACGCAACCATTACTGATCCTCAGATCGATGGTGCCCAAATGTTCCACAGTTAGGCACATCCTACGTCAGCAGCAAAGGGAACTCTGTTTCACCGTGAACACTTTTGCCGGATCAGCGGCTCTGAGGATCCAGATGTTCTTGGGACTACAACGCACAGAAATCCTGACCGCTGACCATGCTGGCGAAGGCTTCTGGCAGTTGTTGTCCAAGGACAACCACAGCACCAAATTCGGGAGCGCTGGTGCTGCAATGCTACTTTGATCATCGTTTATTGCTTACAGCCCCACATAACATCTGGAGCCTTTGTACAGTTAAGATCTCTTGAGCCATGGAGATGTACGGTCTCTGCCTTGTGCCATGGAGATGTATGGAGCTCCACAAACACGCAGTTGTTTTTAAGGCCATCTAGACATAAAAGTCTGAGGAAGGGGCAATTGCTGTCCTACCGAATACAATGGATGAAAAGGCAAAGCTGGGTTGATAAGTACTATTGAAGGGAAAAGGTGGGGAAAGGAAGATGTCGCATAATTGAAATTAGATTTAATTTTTCTTTCACATGGCTTGTCAATCTCTAGGCCTCCCAAAGGAAAAGGATCCTGTTGCGCTAAAGCCCCACTGAGCAAACTTGTACATTCCTCATCATTCTTCTTCCCCCCCAAAGGGGGGGGGGTGAAACTCAACACAACAAAACTTTAACTTTCTTTTGGAAGAGGGAAAAGAAAGGAAACAGGTTCTGGACTGCACTTTCTCTATGGTCCACAGTCCACGTACACTACAGCACTCTAGAGTTGTGTGCTGTTTCCAACACAAGCTTAAAGGGGAAGAATTTATCTGGGGTGGGGTGGGGGCAATGCAGATAGTCTGAGTTCAAATGGCCCAACATAGATATTTTGTTATATTGCTTCTAATAGGAAAAGAGGCCAAATATGTCATAAGATATTCGTATTATCAAAAACAATAACAACAAAAAGGGATGAGTGGAGATTCTCTCCCGATGAATTTAACTTTTATTGGGATGAGTGAGAGAGGAGAGCCCTGATTGGTTGCTTCTGTACGCACGAGAAAGATTCCACCATCGATATTGGTGACTTTGAAGGGGGGGGGCGGAACTGCAGAGATTTGGCCGTGGCCCCCGTGCAGGTTTGAGGGGGCTTTCAGAAAGCAAGCACCCGTGTGGGCCTCAAACTTGCCTTCAAGGAGCTCAACGTGAACCTGCACACCTAAGTCTTCCATAGCTTGTGTGGCATATCTTCAGTCAGATATACATGGGGGGGCACAGGTCAAGTGCGGAAGGGGGGGGCTTTGGCATCGTGGCACCTCACAGCTCATAGGGCCCCTTACGATGTTCAATGTGTGCAGAGGCAGATCTATTCTCTTTCATGAACTGGGAATGCGGTGAAGTAAAGAAGAGGGACCCCCTATTCCTTCATTAACTACGGACAAGATGTCCCACGCCTTGACAGAAACTTGGGCAGGAAAAGCAAATGCTGCAGCCCCAAAGAAAACCAAGGGTCAACTCTAAAGTCAACCCATATGCCCACATCCATTTCCGAGGTCCTTCTCTAAACACCTTCAACCTCCCCATCAACAAAGCTCTCCAACCAGTGTGACATTTCTCAGCCCCAAGGGCTTCCACGCACAAGGCAACCCTACCGGAAGAAGCCACAGGGGCCACGTGCCATCCACAAATAACTCAGGTCGTTCCTGAGCCCAAGGTCCAAATATTTAAGAGGCACGTCCACTCACACCATCGAAGCCACTCCCTGTTTTGTTGCTTGTGCTTTTTAAAAGTGCCCTACTCGGTGAGGGAGAATCAGCAAACCTCGAGTTGAGCACCTCAAAACTACCAGGGACCGGCCAAATCTCTTTGGGAAATATTTGCCGCTTGTGGCCAACAGCACAAGAAAGGAGGACTATGTTAGGTTACCGCCTCTCCAGGGAGAGCCTAATGAAGACTTTCTTCCTCACCCTGAGGCTACAGAAGCAACCAATGTAATGTGTGAAGCATCCAGGATGGGACCAGGAGCCTCTCCTAACTGCTGCTTCCTGTCAAGGCATTGGTGGTTCCATCCAGAACTATGAAACAGTATACAAGGTCAGCCAAAAGAGTCTCTAGTTCAAGATTTTTGTCCCAGCAGCCAAGGATGAATCCTGCAACGCAATTAATTCCCTCTCGGTGCCGTTTTGGCAGATGGGCAAACGGTGGTTTTTGGCACAAAGGCGCTAAACGCATTGCTTCTCCTACAGTGCCATCTCTCTCCATCCTGGGGAGAATGTACTTCCTAAACAAGGAACAGTCTCAAAAAAAAAAAAAAGCACCAGAAAAAACGCTTTGCCTCACCCGCATCCCCACTTTCTCGCAACCACGGCCTAGATGGTAAACCTCTGCAGAGCAGCAGAGACGGTGGAAAACAAAGGCTGATTTCAAGACGGGCGAAGACCGGTCCGGAGGGAGGATGGGGTGGGCGTCCTGGTGCTCAAGGGATTTTCCGGAAGGGACTCTGGGAGAGAAGGTTGTCTGCCAGTGTGTGGACTTTCCCTGCAGTGACCTCCCAAAAGTACGGGTGCCTCCCTGAAACGGATCAGAACCGATGCCGAGGCTGTGGACCAAAGTGCATAGGCAGATTGTGCTCCAGCTGCAGGTTCATCTGGGGAAACTCGTAGTTCACCCGCATGTTAGGCAGTGGGGGCACGTAAGGGGCAGGGATGGGCCCCAGGTTGATGGGGCCGATGTTATTGTACAGCGGGCGGACGGGGGGTAAGGGGAAGGGAGGGTGCACAAAGGGGTAAGGGGGTATTTGGTGGTGAAGGTTCTGGGGAACCGGCCTGGGAATGGCTTCAATCCGTGGGATTTTCTCTGCCGGCTTTTCTACTGGTGGCCCAATCCGCTTGAAACTGTTTTCTGCAAGAAAGAAAAGGTAAAGAAAACAGAGTAGAGAGCAGGGTAGAAGACAACACAAGTGTACAAGATAGGTTTGTTGTTGTTTTTGATCTGAACAAAGCTTTCAAATCACTTGATTTCTCTTCCCCCCCCCCAAAGGATACCATGACTAACTGAGCAATGTTTTGATTTTTTAGCATCTACATGTGTGTGTTGAGGATGATAACATTAACCCACCTCCGTTCTTCCTCTTTTGCTCCTCTTCAGCTTCCTTCTGAATCTCCTGGATTATCTTCTCATCGTCCTCCTTCCAATGACAAAAACCAACACAAATTATCAGCAGGACTGTAGATCGCTATGCTTTTTTAAAAAAGGTAGTTTTAACAGAGAAGATTCGATGTCCACCTGAATTCTGTGACAAACACTTCAGTGTTACAGAAACATGCAATATATGCGATCTCACTTGTTTTGCACAAATGCATTCTGTACTATTCATTTTTTAAAAAATGCTGGGATCCATTCAACCCTTCCTGCTGAGTCACTGGAAGCCTCACCTGGCAGTCCTGTTGGCTTTTTGAGATTCTGCCCACCATGGTTTATAAAGCACAGCTTGGCAGCCATAACCACCACCAACAGAACAAGCTATGGTCTTTTCCAGGAATATGCTAGCCATTCAAGACCAGGGGCTCCAGAAATGCAGCATTGACACTGTTATTGTCACAAAGGGAAAGATTCTTAAGTCGGTGTGCTTAGGGTGCAGCAGGCGGCCGGTTGTGTAGCCAAATGCTTTTCAAGAAACGACTCAGGATTGTGTTGGAAGACACGGAAGGGAGGGAGCGGGGTGGGGTGGGCAAATCAGCAGGTGCGCAGTCATGCTGCTGACAACTTGCTGTGTTCTTGCAGGGAAGACTCGCCCAGATTGCGGAGCATGACTAAGCCGCTTACAGACAGGACCCTGTTCCTACTGCAAGCTTGCCAGGCTCACAAAAGCAGATGGCAGCAGCAAGGAGACCCTCCCCATTCCTCCCCCCCAACCGACACACAACTCATGCCCCACCCAGCCTGTCCTTGCAAGGAACAGCTGGAGTGTCATTAATCTTTTAAATGGCATTGGATCATTACATGTTTAGAGTAAAGCCAGGGCTCCCGAATGTGAGGCTCAAGAACTAGGCAGGATAGAAAATGGACACGGAAAAAGGCTGTTTGCCACATTTTGCAAAATTGCACGCAGACTACAAACTCAACAGTAGGACAGATTCTTTATGTCAAACACACAGAGAACAAAAAGCTGCATGCACACCATGAACATCCTCATCACACCTGAGGCCAGGTGGCTCGCTTAGGAGCCACAGGGCAGGCAACACTCTGACTTCTCGTCTCCAAAACCTTGCCTCAAACCAACAGCAGCAGCCTGTGATCCTTGTTGCACTCAGTCTGGGCTGACTTGTCCCTCTGCCCGTTTGTGATGTCAGGGGAGTCCCCCCACCCCCCGTGACGCCTGGCATGCCTGCGGAAGGCACTGGGCAAGGCAAACAGCAGATTGTCTCAGACTGGAAACAAATGCTGTTGCCGCCAAGGAATCAGGGGGAACAGACGGCAGGGCTTCCCAGCCATCAAGCAGGCACCCCCGAGGGTCTGGGAGTCCAGTCCTGTGCCAGTGCAAGGAAATCCACACCGACTGCATCTCTCATAGGTGACCCCTCCAAGGTCTCCTTAGAAATCTCAGTCTGCCACCCTCCAAGGCAGTCCACTCCATTGTCAAATGGCTCTCGCCACTAGGAAGCTCTTCCTAATGTTTAGTCACCATCTCCTTTCTTGTAACTCAAATCCATTCATTCCAGTCCTATCTTGTTGACCTGCAAACGAAAACACCCAAGCCCGCTCTCTCTTCCATGCGACAGCTTGAAGATGGCTGTGGTACAGCCTCTCAACTTTCTCTTCTCCAGCTTAAACACACCGAGCTCCCTCAATTTTTCCTCAAAGGATTTGGTTTCCAAACCTGTGTGATTATTCTAGCTGTTCTCCTCTGGAAATATATTGTTCCACATTCTTGATATCCTTCTTAAGACTGTGGTGCCCAGAACGGGACACAGCATTCTGGGTGAAGTCAGATCAAAGCAGAACACAAGTCATGCTATTACCGCCCTTGAATGGGACGTGACACTTCTGTTGACACCCTAGTATATCACACTTTTTTTTTTTGCTACTGATCATCATACTGTTGGCTCTTGTTCCACTTGTGATCTAAGACCCCCTCTCTTCTTTTCACATGTCTAGCCTATATATACCCTGGAAGCCAGATTCTGCTTGCTTCTCTGCTCCTTGCTTTGAATGCTTCCACTCTCCTATACCTACTGCCTGAAATGGTCACTAGCTCCTGGTGGGACTGGCGTCTTGCGCAGAAAGACTATGCTTACAGAGCATCTCCTTCTTCCGTCAATGGTCTCAAGACCACCACGGAAGTCAACAGAAAAATCTACACTCATTGGGCTGGGGAAAAAGCAATTAACACGGATGGTTTCCTTTCGCCTTAGGAGCAGTCCATATTTCGATTAACACACAGAGCCATCAGCTGTCCAAACAAATACGTATCATATACCCAGTGCACAAACCAGCATCCCTTTTGGAAGTTTCTAGTCCTCATGGATGAAGGGATGGGAATGTTGGAAACCATTAGGGACCAGACAGATTTGGAATGGTGATAAAAGAAGGGTCTTTGTGTGTAGAGAGAGAGACTTTGTGTGCAGTTCTGTGTTGGGCAGAGTTGTGAAGTGGCCCACCCTGAACAGCTACTATTCTCTGTTTGTTTACCTCTACACACACACACACATACACAGAGTCAAACCTGCTCACTTTTCCTTGCCTTGAATCCTTCTACCTTCCCCTTCTAGTTCCCAGAAAACTTCCTTCTTGGCAGCAAGAGATTGGTGCGAAGCTACATATCTTCACTAATTTATACTGAGGCATCAGCTAAGTATAGAAGAGGGAAAGATTTCTGGTCTGGGTGTGGGATGGGGAGACTGACTGAAGCTGCAGAGTGGTTGGAAAGTGGGCGACCATCTTTGAAGCAGAGGAGGGGGGGCAAAAGCCATCCCACATCTTGTTTTCATTTCCCCATTTTTAATGCCTTCCTGTAATATTTTCCCCCTCCCAAGATGGAAAATGCTCTGGGATTTGGCAAGACGGAAAATGCTCTGGATCTGGAGAACGCCCCTGGGCCATGCCTGTGAAAAAACGCGGTCTCTGAGTTAAATGCACACGCAGACGGAAGAGCCCTGCCAGCTTCCTCGTGCAGATCTGTTCAAGCTCAGGGTGTCGAAGAAACATTGCCAAGTCTTCCTATTCGGTTTGTTCGAGGAGAGCCACGACTGAGTCACTCACTTGGGTGGACTGGCAGGGAAAGGGGTATGCCCTTCACGACACTGGGCGGCCAAGCAGCTGCTGGAGCGTCCCTTCTTTTCTTTTCTTTTTCTGAGTCAGCATTTTAAATTCAAAAGGTTTTCCAAAATGGCCTCCCGTTCGGAAAGGTTTCGGACAGCAAGAACTTTAAGCAAAAATGTGCAGCCTTTCTGACCCCATCCTTTGGCCGCTGGGCCTGCCTGTCACTGGACCACAATTTCAATCTTCTATTTCCTCATCTTGGGTTTGGATTCAAAGCCTGCTGTTCAAACCAAGCCTTTTGTTTTCATTGTCCCGCTCTCCTTCTCTCTGTTTCTTACACCAGAGATGCAAATGGCCCTCGGCTTTCTCTTGTGGGGGGCTGACGGTGCTTATCTTGGGACCGCCGAGAGGAGAAATGGAGGTGCCGTAAGGCAAAATACTCACAACGGCTAATCTTCAATTTCACCTTGCCATCTCTTCCTGCCCTACCTTCCATATCCATCCCCAAATTCCAAATTTTCACCTTTCTGAAGGTGACTGCTCGTTCTGTCCTTAAAGGTAAAGGTAAAGGTTCCCCTTGACAATTTTTGTCCAGTTGTGTTCAACTCTAGGGGGCGGTGCTCATCCCCGTTTCCAAGCCATAGAGCCAGCGTTTGTCCGAAGACAATCTTTCCGTGGTCACATGGCCAGTGTGATTTAGACACGGAACGCCGTTACCTTCCCACCAAGGTGGTCCCTATTGATCTACTTGCATTTGCATGCTTTCGAACCGCTAGGTTGGCGGGAGCTGGGGCAAGCGACGGGAGCTCACTCCGTCGCGGGGATTCGATCTTACGACTCCTTGGTCTTCTGACCCTGCAGCACAGGCTTCTGCGGTTTAGCCCACAGCGCCACCACGTTCTGTCCTTAGGCAACCAGTTAAAGAACACATTGCTATACACTCCTGGCCTTCTCCTCAGGGCAAAAGGTTTTAACAGAAACAATGTTCTTAGGTTTTTACAGCTATTCTTCCATTTGAATGTGGACAATTTTCTACATCCGCTTCCTGCGGGACTCCGACGTAATGGCCAGTGTCTGTAGGAATACTCCAGGCAATGTTCCTGAATGCTTTGGTTTCCTTTAGATGTTATCATTATGGAACAAGAAAGAAGGGGGGATGATGCAGAAAAGGACTCTTGTGGTTGTCTGGAAACCCATCAGCATTTGTCAGCTGACATCTGGGAACCTGGGCAATTGTACTAAACATGTTTTATCAAAATTACTTAAACCATGAAGTCTAAACAAACCAGATTACAAATGGCTACACATCTGCTGTTTTTGCACCAACGCCTCCACCCGAAGATGTTCTTGGGCTCTCTTCACCACAAACATTTCTAGCTTGAAGCGCAGTGTCCCCCCATCTTTGTTGAAGACGAGAGCATATGCTGTTCCCACTAAATCTACAAAATCCCACGAGTATAGCTAACTGCCCGTTCAATGTGTTGCATCACAAGACTGGAAGCGCTGGCCTTGACCATGTTTCTCCGCTTTTATCGAATCGAGGGCTAATCATCAACTTTCTCTCAAACATTTTCCAAACTTCTGGGTAAAACTTGCTCTAACACTTTCCTATTTGTTTCAGGCATGGGGTTTAAGAAAAACCCGACCGACCATGTGGGGCCTGCAGCGTGCCCCTGAGTGTGACGGAGAAAACCTTAAGATGTGGGAACACTAAGCTCAGCCTGGCTTCATCAAATTCAATCTTATTCATTTGGGATCTAATCAAGAGCAGGGACTCTTAACCCGTTATAAACAAAAGCTAGGAATGTAGCATATTATCCAACGGCTGCATTTCCAAAAGGCCAATGTGCATAAATATTTGTTATCTAAATCTTACAGAACTTTATAAAAATGTGGGTCATAAAAATGCTTTTTTTTTTCTTGCCG